GGGGTCTTCCTCTTTTTCTCTGACCCTCCACCTTACCCAGCATGACATCCTTCTCAAGCGACTGTTCCCTCCAGACAATATCATTGATATCACATGTTTAAGTTTTTGCTGATGATAATCGGACACTGCCAGAAATTCAAGCTGGATTCAGAAGAGAATATGGAACTAGGGATATCATTACTGATGTCAAATGGATCTTGGTTGAAAGCAGAGAATACCAGAAAGAAGTTTACTTGGGCTTTATTGACTATGATAAGGCTTATGACTGTGTGGATCATGACAAGCTATAGATAACATTGCAAAGAGTGGATATTCCAGAACACTTTAATTGTGCTCATGAGGAACCTGTACATAGACCAAGAGGCAGCTGTTTGGACAGAACAAGGGGACACGGATTTGTTTAAAATCAGGAAAGGTATGTTCCAGGGTTGTATTCTTTCACTATTATTCAGTCTGTATGCTGAGCATATAATCAGAGAGGTTGGATTATATGAAGAAGAAAGTGTCATCAGGATCAGAGGAAAACTAATTAACAACCTGAGACGTGCAGATAATGCAACCTTGCTTGCTGAAAGCGAAGAGGATTTAAAATACTTACTAGTGAAGATCAAAGACTAGTTTGGATTGTACCTCAAAACAAAAATCCTCACAAGTGGAGTAATAACATCATGATGAATGGAGAAGAGATTGAAGTTGTCAAAGACTTCCTTTTGCTTGGACCCAAAATCAACACTTGGCACAGCTAAGAAATCCAATGATGTATTAAATTAGGCAAATCTGCCTCAAAAGACCTCTTAAAGTGTTCAAAAGAAAAGATATCAGTTGGTCCACCTCACGCAAGCCATGATATTACTATGGTATTTTCAGTAGCCTCACATGCATGTGAAAGTTTGACAGTGAATAAGGAAGACCACAGAAGAATTCATGAGTTTGAATTATGTATGATGTTGCAGAAGAATATTGACAGATGGACTGCCAAAGGAATGAACAAATTTATCTTAACAAAGTTTAGCCAGAATGCTCCTTAGAACTGTGGATGGCAAGACTTTGTTTCTCTTACTTTGGACATGTTATTAGAAGAGATCAGTCTCTGGAGAAGGACATCATGCTTGGTAAAGTGAAGGGTCAGTGAAAAAGGAAGACTTCCAAGGAGATATATTAGTATAGTCGTAGCAGCAACGGGCTGAAGTGTTACACCAATTATGAGTATGATGGAGGACTGGGCAATGTTTCATTCTGTTGTGCAAAGGGTCCCTATGAATCAGAACCTACTTGAGGGCACCTGATAACAATACTAGTAAAACAGTATTAGTGTTAACTGTTGGCTAGGGTAATGGAAATCTTCTCTGTATGTTTGTATATAACTGGGGTTTATAGTAGTAATCACGTTGTTGTTGGGTGCCGTGGAGTCGGTTCCAACTCATAGTGACCTTGTATAGGGTTTCCAAGGAGCAAAGTGAGTTCTTATACCTCATAAGAAAGCAAACTTGCAGTGACTCCTATGACATGTTTGTTGAATCAATATGTTGATATTAAAGGATATTTTGCTTGATGGTATGGGTGTGTATATACTGTCAATAACTTACTTTGCAATTATATCCCTAAAAAATTTAACAATACTTCTTTCACACATTATGCTTTTCAAAATGCTTTATCATACCAGAGAGCTTCAAAAAGTTCGTGGAAAAATTCCATTTTCCCACTAACTTTTTGAAGTCCCTCATACATTCTCTCATCTGATCATCCAAACACTAGTTGAGAAGAATACAGAAGTGATAAGGAAACCAATGTGGTTATTTCCCAAATTTTTAACAATTAGCAAAGCCAGTACTGGAATCTGGACATTGTGGCTCTAATCTAGTCCTCAAGGTTTCCAACCAGCGATAGTGTAGCATTTAGATTCCAAGACAATGTTATATTAGAGCAAATAATTAAATTTTGATTAATTTCATTGCCTGGTAAAATTGATTATAGGGAGGAAAGTTAAGCTATCAGGAAGGTTTGGCAGGAAAGGGACATGGTGACGACAATGAGAAATGACTGAGTCAAAGCCAGTGCTTTCCCATACCCAGGTCAAGTCCTGAAATGTTCTGATAGGACTTGCTGCTATTTCCATCATAGACAAATTGTTGAGTAAACCACTGAAAGCCATCTTTAATCATTTAAAATAATTGTTGCACAGTTGGGATTCCTAGGTCTATTGATGGTCTGTGGGTAGTTTCAGAATGACCAAATAGTCAACAACTTCTGTCCCCTGCAAACATCATCATCAAAACAGCTTTGTTCTTTTTTTCAGGGTATGCTTTTTTGTTTCCCTCATTCTCTTTTTTGTGTTTTTTTTTAATTTTTCATTTTTTTTGTGTGTGTGTGTGTGATAGTTTACATGGGGGAACATTAGCTTTACACTCATTCTATCATACATCGTTTCATTGCCATAGTTACCATCCCGTCCATGCATCATCACACATGACTTGCATGTTCTCTACTTTCAGCTAATTATTATCCCTCATAAATGCTTTACTTTAGTGTTCCTCATCACTACATTCCCATCAGACCCCAATCCCATTACCCTCTTCAGTCACTTTTACTCCCACTTACTGCCTGGTTCAGGCCCCTGCATGTTTCTCCTCTGTCTTCATTCCCCATCTCTGTTTTCCAGTCTCCTTGTCTATCCCTTTTAATTATCCTTGGCATGTCTATAGCCCCCTTTTACCATTCTGCCTTTCCACAGGATTGCCAGGTAGTTCCTTGTTCCACACTTTTGATCTTTTTCTTATTTCTTAATCCACTCCAAACAATATAATCTCCTGCTCTCCTTCTTACTGAGCTCTTCTTAATTTTCTCCCTATGTTATGAACTATGATATGATGGTACCAAAAATTAAGATGATACCAAAAATCTGATGTGTGTTGTATATGACTTCTCATTGTAACACATTCATAACATTTCCGTGTTCTTTCTTCCATAGGCTTTTCCCATCTTAAACCTAAAATAGAACCTATTTGTGCAATGTTTGTTTGTTATAGGTGATAAAACCAGGACTGAAAATGAAGAGTTGACTCAGCAGGAGGATATGCCCAAAGACATGGAGTCTCTTGGGGAGATAAACAAAAGATTTAACAAAGACGTTCCTCAGCATCCTGAATCCAAGGATGCTACTGAAAGTGAGAGCAGATTAAAGTGGCAACAGAGGGGAAGAAGACGATATAAATGTGATGAATGTGGAAAAAGTTTCAGTCATAGCTCAGACCTGAGTAAACACAGAAGAACTCACACTGGAGAAAAACCCTATAAATGTGATGTGTGTGGAAAAGCCTTCATTCAACGCTCACATCTCATTGGACATCATCGAGTACACACTGGAATAAAACCCTATAAATGCAAAGAGTGTGGGAAAGACTTCAGTGGTCGCACAGGTCTTATCCAACATCAGAGAATACACACAGGTGAAAAACCCTATGAGTGTGATGAGTGTGGAAGGCCTTTCCGTGTAAGTTCAGCCCTTATTCGACATCAGAGAATTCACACCGCAAACAAACTCTATTAATATACTGAAAGTAAAAAGATTCCTTTAGATACTCAGGACTAATTATTTATCAGAAGACTACCTTAGAGACTTTGAGTATTCGGAATTTGGGCTACGTTTCTGTTATTATTAAAAACTTCTCTGGTACCAGAGAATCTACTTGAATAAAATTTCCTTCAGTTCTAAATTAAGTTTGGGAAGGAATTATGAGTTATTTCAGAAAGTCTTGTCAAGTCACAGTGCTGCTCACCTGCAGCCCAAGATAGCCATGGTTTCTGATTAAAAGACAGTGAGCTGTACCTCTCTCTGCTCTAGCTCTTTTTTACCTGATTACCCAGAGTATGACTTTAGGCAAGACTTCCTAATTTTTCTGTCTTCAATTCTCCTATAAAGTGCAACTGATAAGAGGCCCACCAGGTATGTTGTGAAAATAAATTTAAATAGATGTGAAAACTTCTTTTGAAATTAACTAAAGCAATGTACATTACTTTTTCCCCTTAATTACTTAGTTATCTGTAATAACTAAATCTGATGATTTCCACATTCCATTGGGTCATCTCTCTTTTGAATGGGCACAAATATGGATCTCTTCCAATCAGTGGGCCAATTTTATTGGCATCGATGTGTGAGTGTCTCCAGTGCTGCATTAGTTTGTTGAACGATTTCAAATTGTATCCCATCAATTCCCAGAGCCTTGTTCTTTGCCAATGCCTTCAGTGAATGTTGGATTTCTTCCTTCAGTGCCATTAATCCTTGATCATATGCTTCCTCTTGAAATAATTGAACATTGGCCTTATCTTTTTGGTACAGTGACTCTTATGTATTCTTTCTGTCTTCTTTTGATGCATTCTGCATCATTCAATATTTTGCCCAGAGAATCCTTCAATATTGTATCTCAGGATTTGATTTTTTTATTTTATTTTTTTTTTCTTTAGTTCTTTCAGTTTGAGAAATGCTGAGTGTGTTTTTCTTTTTTGGTTTTCTAACTCCAGGTCTTTGCACATGTCATTATAATACTATCTTCTCAATCTACCCTTTGAGATTTTCTGTTCTGCTTTTTCATTTCCTTCATTTCTTCCATTTTATCTAGCATGTCTATACTGAAGAACAAACTTCAGAGTCTCTTCTGACATCTATTTTTGTCTTTTCTTTTTTTCTATCTTTTTACTGACCTTTTGTTTTCTTCCTGTATGATGTTCTTGATGCCACCCCACAGGTCTTATTTCCAGTAAATCTGTAGGAACACACAGAAAAAACTGGATAGAGGACAATGAGTTGGAAAGAAGAGCACTGAGTTCAATAAGGGTTAATGCACCAGACTGCAAAGCCGTTTGAACTTCAGGGTTGGCAGTTCAAGCTCACCAGTCACTCCTCAGAAACCCTATACAGGGTTGCTATGGGTCGGAACCGACTCAACGGCACTTAACAACAACAACAACAACTTGGAAGAAATTATGTAATACCTTGGAATACTGAGTTTTATTAGCGAAACTTCTTGGATGGATGGATAAATCTTGCTCTAAAAGAAACCTGAACATGCACTCAGAAAGTTGTGTCAAAAGCATATGCATTGTTCTAAGCATTTTTTAAGAGATTTGGTTTTTTGGTTGTTTGTTTTGAGGTAAGCAAGAACTAAGAGAACAGTGACTTGATGAAGCAAATAAAAGGAAGTATGGAAGGAATCATTCTCACATAGATAGGGTGGTAGTGAACTGGTGATTTTAATGAGAGGAAGGGGGACTGGCTATGAAGGAGGTGTATGGACAGTTGTGAAAAGGGAGAAAACTAGATAGAGCTAAAAGGGATGAAAGGAAAATAATTTTTGAAGGGCCAAGGCTATAAAGAAAGGATAATAAAATAAGGAATACAGATAGGGGAAGAAAAGAGGGAGTAAGGTAATTCTAACATATGGACATCAATCATGTTTTTTAAGACAATCATATAATGAAAAGATGACTAGATCAGCTCCTGATCTGATGATACTCTGCACAACACACATCATTTGTAGTATCTTCATTGAATGGGGCTACATTCTCATTCTAAGCATAAGATAATTTTAGTATAGTCTAATCATGTGCTGTGGGCTAATGCATCAGACTGCAAAGTTGTTTGAACTGCAAGGTCAGTGGTTCAAGCACACCAGCTGCTCCTTGGAAACCCTATACAGGGTCACTATGGGCTGGAATCGACTCAACGGCACTTAACAACAACAGCAATCATAAAATGGAGTCATGGTATGGTGCTGTGAGATAAAGCACTGAGACTACAAGTTCAGTTGTTCAAGCTCACCAGTGGCTCCTTGGAAACCCTATACAGGGTTGCTATGGGTCAGAACTGACTCGACGGCACTAAACAACAACAACAACAACAATCAACAGTGAAAACTGGAACTTTAAGTTTTCCAAAACAACCTGTTCTCCCCTAGATAATATCACATGCAAGTTACAATGAAATTCAAAAAGTAGCTGTAACAATTTTTCCTACTCAAATCCTGCATAGTGAGGTTTCTGTACCTTGGCTCTATTGATGTTTTAGGCAAGATAATTCTTTCTTGTAGGAAGCTGTCCTCTGTATTATAGGATACATCTCTGATTTCTACTCACTAGATGCCAATAGCAGTCCTCCAGTTGTGACAACCAAAAATTTTTCAAAACACTGCAAGATATCCCCTGGGGGGCCAAATAACCACCAGTTAAAAACAACTTCTCTATAGGAAAACAATCTAATTTCCACAGCTGTTTCAAATCATATATAATGCTATTTAGAAATGATATATCTGACCAACATACAAACATGCCTATCAGATGTGTACATATGATTATTAGAACTTGAAATGTAGTTAGTACAATTGAGGAACTAAATTTTTTCAATTTAATGTTATTAAATCTAAAAACATGCTTGGTTCAGGAATTGGAAAACCTTTAGGATGTTTTGAGCAACTCAGGTATGTGAATCTACTTTTTCAATTTTAATTTTATGAAATCTTAATGCAAATCACCAATTTTCAATGAAATTTTCATATCTGAACTGAGATATGCTATAATAGGAAAGGTGGTGTAGTGAGTTAAGCATTGGGCTGCTAACCAAAAGTTCAAACCCACCAACTGCTCTGAGGAAAAAAGATAAGGCTGTCTACTTCCATATTGTTGTTGTTATGTGCCATGGAGTTGGTTCTGACTCATAGCGACCCTGTACAGGATTTCCGAGGCTGTAAATCTTTATGGGAGCAGAATGCCTCTTCTTTTCCCTGTGGAACAGCTGGTACGCTACCAGAGCTCCTTATTAAGAGGATTAAGGGTAGGATATATCAACCTTAATCCCATCACCACCCTGATCCAGTTTATGGGATCCAGTATATGGGAGATTCCCAAGGGTATGGCATGCAAGCCTTTTATCTTACAAGCTACAAAAGAAGAGAAATTTGAGCACAGAAGGAGAGACCCACTAACACCCAGATAGAAGAACCAGGAATGGAGTGTGTCCTTTGGACCTGGGGTCCCTGAACTATGAAGCATCTAGATCCAGAGGAAGGAAGGTTGATGCCAAGATACATGGCGAACTCCAAGGAATGCTGGGCCTACAGATACTGAAGAGATACCAAGGATCTTTCTCCAGAGCTAGTGCTCTGAATTCCAACTTCTAGTATCCTAAACTGTGAGAGAATAAATTCTGGCTTCAAAGCCATGTACTGTAATATTATGTTATAGCTGTATTAGATAACTAGGACACTTTACAAAATGTCCACTCCTCATTAATTCATTCAACAAACAGTTACTGAGTGCAGGTTGTATATCAAGCCCCTGTTCTAGGCACTGGGGATACAGCAAGGAGCTTTGGTAGCACAGTAGTAAAATTGCTTGGCTGCTAACCAAAGGTCAGTGGATTAAACCCACTCCACAGGAGAAAGATTTGGTAGTCTGCTTCCATAAGATTTACAGCCTTGGAACCCCTGTAGGGCAGTGTGGCATTGCAGGACTGCTAATTGCAAGGTTGGCAGTCCAAACCCATCAGCTGGTCCTTGGAAATATTATACAGGGTCGCTTGGAAACTATACAGGACTGTTGTGAGTTGGAACTGAATGCACATCACTTAACAATAACACTGTCTTACAGGGTCATTGTGAGTTGAAATTGACTCCACAATAGTGGATTTGGGTTGTTTTTGTTGTTGTTGTTGTTTGGGAATAGAGCAAGTATAAGATAAAATCTCTGTCCTCAGAGGCCTACATTATAGTAAAGGGGGACAAACATCAAATATGAATAAATGATGTATAGAATATAATCAAATGAAATAGTGACTAAATGGCTAACCCAAGTAGTCAGAAAAAGCTTTTCTGGGAAGTTGACACTCAAGCTAAAATATAAACATCCAGTCTTGGGAAGTTCTGCAAAAGAGCATTCCAGGCAAAGAAAACACCTAATACAAAATCTCTAAGGTAAGAACCTGGTGTTACAGGAACTGAAAGAAGGTAACGTTCTAAAGTACTACACTAAAGGGAGAACAGTCTGAGATGAAGTCAGAGAGGTGAACAGGGTCCAGGACGAGTTTTCTAAGTATAATGGGGCACCATTGGAAGGGAGTGACATCATCTAATTTTTGTTTTTAAAAGAACATTCTGACTGCTTAGGGAAGAGTGGAGGCAAGACCAGTCAAAAAGTAATACAGGATATAGACAGTAGCAGTAAATGTGAAGAATAAATAGATTGGTGGTACATTTTAGAGATAAATTCAGAACAATTTGTTAAAAATTATTGTAGATTCCCAAATCTTCACATGTAAAGATGTCTATGTATTAGGTGGTTGTTGTTGTTAAGTACCATTGAGTTGGATGTGAAATTGAAAATTTTCTGACAAAAAAAAAAAAAAAGTTAAATTTAAAGAATTCCACACAGTTCAACCTCACAAGAAATAAAAGTAGAAGAATGGACCAGGAGCAGGGCCTTTGAAACTGTATGTGGGCCTAATTTATAAAAATGGAAATTTTTATTTTCTCCTTAAAACTCTGTGGAAGGCACCCTTATTAAAGATCTCTTTTGTTTAAAGAAAACTTGCCAACCAACTCATGAGATGCAGAATTAATATTCTAAAGTGATAGAAAGTGAAAAGAGATGAAGCTCTACTTTATAATGATCCACTGACCATTATATTATTAATT